CTCACTCTGTCCCCAACTCAAAATATATGCACTGCATCAAGAAAATACAGAACGATTGTGCTCTTTTCCTCCCTTTGCAGTTCTCTACCACAGGTGCATCAGCTTCAGTTAAGGAAAAATGAAAGGTGGAGCAAAGCTCAATTTTGGCCTTCTAATTATGAGAACCAGACCACTTCTTCTAATTCAGCCTCAAATTGGCAACTCTAACAGACAATAAAGAAATATATCTAAGTACTCAAGATCTTCAAAACCAACTGAGAAAATAATATAAATAATAAAAGAATTATGCTTTCTCACATTCATAATGTACCAGAACTGATCTCAAATTAAAGTAGGCAAAAATAAGAAACAACACACACGTACACACATTTTCTTTACTAACCAATGAGATAAAAAATAAAATACATTTAATAAGTGAATAGCTTATTCCATTAGGAAATACTTCATTCTACAATCTATTTGCACTGGTTTTCCATCAATTTCATCAGGTTTTGCTTCTTCACCTCTGTTTGGATGCAAAGCCCCATAATAAACAATAAGAAAAATAATTCCAAGGAAAAGAGTCAGAGCTATAATAATACTGATAGGTATAAAATAGTCTGAATTAAAAATAGAAGGCGGGCAAACCCAGAACACAATCAATATCCCTAATGTGGCCAATATTCTCACAATATAATAACAAGACATTGGACATTTGGTATTCTGTCCTTTAATATTAAAAAATGTAAAGATAAGAATGAACCCAACAACAACCCTATATAAGAGTTCCATACTTATGGAAGCACAAAACTGAGTTTGGTTTTTAAATGCCCATGATATACCGAAAAACCAAAGAAGTAACAACAGAAATAAAGCAATCTTAATATTTAAGAATAAAAGAAGTACAACACTCAGCATCCAAGATAATATTGTAAACAACTTATAAAAGAGGTATGTGAGTTTGGGACACAGTCCATTAAGGAGATTTTTATCAGGCAAGGATTTTCTTAATGCTACTTGATAATCAACAGTCGACCAAGAAATAGCACAGCAAGAGACCATGATGGCTGCATCTACAAAACAAAAAATTTAGAAAAGGTATATTGTTATAGGAATAATAATAGCAATATTAAATTACTACATGCTATACATGCTTCATCTGTACATACACAAACCCACAACTACAAGTCAGGCACTTTATAAACTCATTTCAACTAATCTTTTAAGATAGATACTAATATTCCCATATTATATGTGAGGGAATTGATGTTTGGAGAATATATATTACTTGACCCAGGTCAAAGAGCTAGCTAATTGCTGAGTTGAGATTTGAACCTAAATCTTCCTGATTCCAAAGTTCATGTACTTAACCACTACAAGATTTCGAATAAATTGGACTAACTCTGGACAAATTTTATTGAGCAACTGATATAGTAAAACTATATACTTTGGAAGTTCTCTAAGATACTACAGTTATAGTCCTAGCTATTTTAGTCATTTTGGTTTTGACCTTGGGCATATACTTAATTCACTAAGAGACGGCATCATGAAAGAGGGAGGTAAAAAGGAAGGGAGGCAGGAGAGAGGGTGAGAGGGAGGGAGGAAGGGTGGTTAAACAGAAAATTAATATGAGTATCAATAACTTCAATTTCCCATATCTTTAAGATGATAGATCAAATGAACAAATGAGTTCTAAAACTTAGAAATTTCAATAGGTTTGAAATCTTTACCCCATTTTCCCCCAACAAATAACAGAAGAGTAGGTTCATTACTTTGGAAAGGCATGTCATTAGCCCTACTGTCAAAACTGGGACTTTTATAAGACTGAAAGCAAAGATATTAGAGATTAAGAGCCTCACTGGAGGTCTGTATACTGTATTATGATGGGAAGACTGGCTTTAGATTTATCTATTAAAGAAGATTACGGAGATTATAAATGCCTTTGTCCACTCTCGTAGTTTTAGCATGTACCTCTCTGGACCACGCGATTAGTTGGACTTCTTTCCTTTCAATTAAAAAAATATTTAAATTAAAACATTGCTTTCCCCTAAACTGCCCTACGATGTCTTTTTATAATTGGTTTCCATTTCTACCAAACTAATACATACAAAAAGTACTACAGAATTTATAAAAAAACAAAAACAAAACTGTATCTTGCTCTGCCCTTCTTCTCATCTCAGTCACAATCCCCAGAAGAAATCGCTATCAGTTCTTCTAGCTCTTGACATTTACTGCCATATTTCTAAATGAAACATATATTGTGCTACTTCTTAATCTATCTGCTTTAGACACTGCTTATTGATTTCCTACTGGAGAACAGGAAAATTTGGCACATATACACATACATATACACCCTTCTTTCATTTTCCTTTCCCCTCATCTGCCCAAAAGAGCAGGATCACAATTTTTGGTAAAATCAATATTCAGCATTTACCTTATAATAACTACACACACATAGCATTTTTTTGCTGCTCAGTCACATACTACACTCTGATTAAATTTCCTTTCCTTTAAAATTTTTCATTGTTTCCTCACTTGCTTAGTTTTTCATGACCCTATCACTATTTCTTAGCAAATTCTTCCAATTAATTAATAAAACACCCTTTATATACATCTATTAGTTTCCTTTTTTATATAAGAATATGATCCTCCTGGTCTAAGGTAGCTGTTCTCAAAGTTTGTTTCCTGTCTTCCCAGAACTTCCCTTCACCTCTATTTAGTGCTGAATTCCTCTTTCCTGTTATTGTATTTCTTTCTTGCTTTATTCTCATGTTTTTAATCAACCATTCTCCAGACATTCCTGAGAAAAGAATGTTTATTATACCTTCATATTTGATACAAGATTTTGCTAGAAATGAAATTCAAAGTTAAAACATATTTTCCATTGAATCTTTGAAGTCATTGCTCTATTAAGTTCTAATTTCAAGTGTTATAGTCAAGAACTTCAATGCCATTCAGATTCTCTATCTTCGGGTAATCTTTTTATCTCAAATCTTCTAGAATCTTATCTTTATCTTTGATTTTCTGAAATACTATAATCATGAGCTTGGTCCAGGCCACTTTTATTCACCCTTTCAATCTAATAGCTAACATCCTTCAGTGACATGTTGTTTTTATTCTTTGGTGATTTCTCTAGAAATCATAATACTCATATTAAACTTACCAAAGTTTAAAGTTAATCAATATTGCTACCTCAGAGGTGGATTTATCATGAAGATAATGAAGCTTAAATTTCAGGAATCCACACTTGCCCAGGTTCTTTCCAAGCCTGGTAAAGCCATGGCAATGTGTTCATCTTGCCATATATTTTTATAAAATTTGGAAAAATAAGACATTTTAATTGCAGTTGACTAAATTCCCTGTCTCTCCTACTTATCCTTTCTCGCATTTTCCTTTTGTGTACTGAAGTAGCTGTGAACATTTGAGGATATGACTAAACAGAAATTGAATTGAAAATACACTTAGTTGAGGTTCAGGGGGATACATTTACAAGATTTGCTTGAATAATTAAGATCAGTAAGTGACAGAGCTAGGATTCTCACTTTGCCTGATCTCAGCGCTCCAGTATATTGCCATCGATGGACCTTTGAATCCTTTAAGACATGATGGTCTATCCTCATTCAGTTCACAGTATTAGTGTGACACTATGTCCCATTTCCCACTTACCTACCTGCTTCCAACATATTTTTCTGATAATTTTGCTACTGTTCTAGCCTATATATTACACTCTATCCAAACTGAATTCCTCGTCTTTGCCAAACCATGCCTTTGCTTACGCAATGCTCAGTCTGAAATGACCTTGCCCAATCACAACCGTACAGATTCATAATTTCTAATTTGACATTACTGAAACCAATGAAGAAAACACGAAACTCCCAATATTCACTAAATGAGACATCAACAATAACTTAATGTTGTTAATTCAACAGAATTTAAAATTAGTTACTTCATCCAAAAAAAATTCTTAAAATATTCTGATCTTATAGTACATTACTAAACTGGTAGTTTTCCCCAAAGTTGACAATGTAAAAAACATGTATTATCAATAATTTGCGAAGCTGAAACTTTTCTAACTTCAAAATACTAAACAAATTTCAATCAACTATGCTAGAAAAAAATTAAATTATCCTATTCTATCAAAATTATATTACAAAATCATTATCAACCAAAAGCCAATCAGAAAGTACACAGCCAAAAGATTTAGAGAGACGACTATTAAAATATTACTTTTCTTCCTCTTGTGAAATTTGTAGTACTTGTTAGCCTTATATCTGTAATTTGCTATAATTTATCTTATTTTTTTTAAATGTTTACTTGCATAACTTTTATGTACTGGTTTCTTCAAAATTCATATTGAAACCCTAAACACTTGATGTGACTGCATTTTCAGATAAGGCTTTTAAGGAGGTTGAGGTTAAGGTTAAATGAGGTCAGAGGAGTGGGGCTAGAATCTGACAGGACTGCTGTCCTTATAAGAAAGAGACACCAGAGAGCCTGCTCTCTCTCTCCACAGAGGAAAAACCATGTCAAGACATAGCAAGAAGGTGAAGAGAGGGTCCTCACCAGGAACCAACCCTGATGACACCTTGATCTTGCACGTCCAGTCTCCAGAACTGCAAGAAAATATATTTCTGTTGGTTAAGCTGCCAAGTCTGGGGTATTCTGTTACGGCAGCCCAAGCAGACTAATGCAATATCTAATTTTCGTTTCTTAATGTTATTTTTTAAGTAGGGTCTCTGTAATGTTTTAGTTTTATACCTCAAAAAGCCCAGATCCAGCTTGCTTTATCTTTCTCCTGAACTATATATACAAGGAATTTAAAATACTTTAACCCCATTTATCTTCTACTTGACTTACATGTTATTGCTGTATTGTACTTTCATTCTTTTTAACCACACAGTTTTTTTGTTTTATACCATCAATTTTTTTTTAGATTTACCCACATGTCTACCACTTTCTTTGTTCTTTATTCCTTCTTGCATCTCAAAACACTTCTTTTCTGTCTGAAGTACATTCTTTGGAATTTTCTTCAGTACTGACATGTTGTGGTATGGATTTTCTTCTACTTAGTTGCTTGTGAGATGATGCACTTCTTGAATGTGTGGGTAGGTAGCTCATCAGTTCTGAAATCTTTTTCAGCCTTTAACTTTTCAAATATTGCTTCTGCTCCATTCCTTCTCTCCTCTCCTTCAGGGACTCTGCTCAGATGTATGTTAGACCTCCCCATCCATCTTCCATGTCTTAACATCTCTTTCATATTTTCTATCTCTTTGTCTCAGTAAGCTATATCCTGGAATAATTCAGACCTAGCATCAACTCGTTAATTGTCTATACAGTTGTGTCTAATCTGGTGAGTTTTTTAATTTAATTCTTAAATGTTTTCAAGTCTCATAAATTCTACTTGTTTCTTTTTTAGGTACACAATTCATTTTTTATAGTTACACTATTCCATATTTTCAAGTTCATCATTTACATCTTTCAGCATAATAGGGTGCATGTTTTATACTTTGCATTTGGTAATTTCCAATCTCTAAAGTCTTAATGAGTTTTTTTTTCTATTTCTGTTGATTCTTACGGTGCCTTTGCTCTTTTTGGCAATATAAACTACCGTAAACCATTCATTTTCCTTGGAAAACTATCTGTAAAAATTATTTGCAGCCTCTTGGGAGGATTCCTCCAGGGAGGATTTACACTTGTTTCTGCCAGACACCTGGAGTCACTATCAGTCTGGAACCACTCTAAACTATATTTATAGCTTGGCTTCTATTAATTTGTTTGAGAGGAGAGGGGTCATTTTGTTTTGTTTTCTGGACTAGTCAAAGATGTGAATTTTGGTTGCAAATCATATTGTTATAACTTCTCAACATTTTTCCCTGCCCTATTCAGCAGCAAGGCAATATTCCTTGGAGCCTCTTGGAAGTGGAGAGTAAGTGAGGTAGGTAACGTCACTTTCCCACTGAGGAGGGTGGTTTGGGGTATACCAGCTTAGTGGATTACAGTGTTCAACCAGACTTCCTTGTGAGGGCTCTGAGTTTTGTCTTCAGTTCTCCACACTCTGGGAAGCCATCGGAATTGAATCTGCTGTCTATAATGAGGTTCCGTAAAAACTCTCCAAGTATAAATGCCTTCAGAGTCACACCTAACCCTGCTTTGTCCCTGCTTTCAAGCATGCTTTGGTTTGTTCTATCAGACTGTTTTCTGCCTTTATGAAGGCTTTTGAAAATATCTGTCCAATAGTTTTAGATATTTTCAGAGAGAAGGTTGATTCAAATAATTTAGCCTTTCAGTGGAAGAGTTGATATGAATAACCTCAGTTTTCCAACTGCTTTCCACCTTCTAAACATTTGTTGATATTTCAAATCTACTATTCTACTCTGCATTCTCTTTATTCTTGTGGGTTTATGTTATTTTTACTTTTTTACTCTTCTTTTTAGTATGATTTCAGGAAGAAGCAAAGATAAAAGAATATGTTCAGTCTACTGAAGTTACTTCTACATGTAACCTATTTTTTTTTTAACATTCTGAGTTACTCTTCCTGTCAAAACAATAAAGTTACTATAGAAAATATAAAAATTCAGCAAAGTATAAAGATGATAAAATCATTCATAATCCCACTTGGAAGTGGAGAATGAGGTAGCTACCTTCACTTTGCATAATCTCATAAGCAGCCACAGTTAACATTTTTGCATATTTTCTTCCAGACATTTTCTACATAATTATTTCTTTATATCATTATAAGTACACTTATAGAAAATCTGATAAACTTTTTTGCCTAAATTGTATTTTAGAATTACTTTCATGTTCATTAAAAGTTATCTTTAAACACTATTTCTAGTGGCTACATAACTTTTTACACTAAAAGTCTACAATAACTTATGTACCAAATTTTCTATTGTTAAATAAGATTATTTCTCGTTTTTTGTTGTTGTTGTTGTTGTTTTTAGGCAAGGCAACCCTTGGTTGACCTCACAGATTGCAAGGACCTCGTCAGCTTACAATCCCTTATTTTTTATTTTTTACACCTACAGTACCTGGTCTTCCTAGGTAGTCTCCCATCCAAGTACTAACCAGGCCCGACCCTCCTTAGCTTCCTAGATCAGGTGGGACTGGGCTTGTTCAGGGTAGCATGACCATAGACACAATTTTTTGCTCTTTTTAACTAACACCTCAACATTTTACTTCAAGGAGAAAGTAAACAATGAAGATAGAACCATAATGTGAATAGAACTGTCACTGGATCCCACTGCTGGTCCGGATACTATGTACTACTTGGAATATTTGGAAAAGCAGATCTACCATAACAGAGGCTGTAAACTCTAAATGTTGAACTTCTAGTTTCAACAACCATTTGATATGGAACATTTAACTCTCAACCCACAAATTCTTTGCATCACAAGGAAAAAGAGGACTCATACATCGTAAGTTCATTTCAGTATCATACTAACAACCAAGGTAAAGGTAAAACTACTAGAAGAAGCTACAGGGTAGAGGTTTACGGGAAACTGGGAACGGAAAGATGATTTGGGGGCATGAACTGATCTCCCGGGAGAGTCTAGCATAGAGGGAACTCCAGGAATGATGACGATCTGCTCCTCTGAGACAGATTCGAGTCCGCACACAACCTCCGGCATTAATGTAACTGGGACTATTGTTTAGCAAATGCTTTTAACATCACAAATTAAACACCTATTAAAAGTTTCTTTTAAATGAAAATACCAAACTATTCTTTAAAACTGAGTATTTTACTCCAATAACGAAATATGCTAAAGATCAACTTGCAAAACTTCCATTAGTTTTGCAGCATTTGCACTTTCACCTAATGATTCCCGACAAACTTCAAATATACAAAATGACGCAAGTATAAGATTATTCAAGGCAGCGTTTTTTGCAATAGTAAAACATTAGAAACGATAAATAAACATAAACAGGGGCTTGTTAAATAATTCATGGTACACTCATAATTTGTAATATTATGCAGGTAATAAAAATGAATGAGGGAGCTCATTTTGTGCTGATATGAACAGATCTCCAAGATATACTGTTAAGTGCAAAAAAAAGACAGTTTTTATTTTATGTTGCTATGTCTGTACGAGACAGAGACAGAGAGGAAGACAGAGAGAATAAGAATGAATATAGGCTTTTAAAATTTTTTTCTGAAAGAATCATCAAAAAAATGACAATAACAGTTTCCTTTCTGGTCAAAGGAAGAAATGGAAGAAGGGAAGGGAGACTATGTCTTTATATACTTTTTAATATTTAAACTATGTACTTCTTTTCAAAAATTAAATAATTCTAAAGAGAAAAAATTTTTAAAAATTCTAAAACCTGCCAAAAAGTTATGTAATTGACATAAGCTCTCAGTGGCAACCAACTAACACGGTGTTAAGAAAGACTTACACTGACTGAAATTTGCTTGGCCATGTTCCAGAAAGGTGTAGAGCTGAAGAACAAGTTGTGGGCAGCCTTCAAGATAGGTCTCAAACAGCCTGAGCATACTCAAATCAGTCACTCGATCTATAACTTCTTTATGTAGATCGATTTGTTCTTCTATGAAGTTATCAGTTTTGCTGCTGTATTTGAAAGCCACATGATAACCCTTTTTCAAGGTAAACCAATACCTGTAAAGTAAACATGAACATTTATCTTTAGTAATATAGTCTTCATAATATGTATGCTAATATACATAACAATTAAGAAACAAGTAGCATGTGTTTAAGTACAGAATTTTCCCACAAACTTTCTCCACTAAAAATTTCTCTCAACTTCATGAACATATCATGGTGGCTTTATCGAGATTCTGATTCCATAAACTTTTATTTCATGTTTGATGTACCATTTTGTGCTAGCATTGTTAAACATACATGATTGTATTTCATCCTCACAATTATTATGTGACATGCATAAGTATTATCCCCATTTCACAGATGGAGAAACTAAGGCTAAGAACAGTAAAACGAAAGTTACACAGAGAGTAAGGGGCAGACCTGCAGTCCAAACTGAGATCTTATGATTCCTAGTCTTAACCACTACTTTCAATTCATGTGATTTATCTTAAATACAAGATGAATACATGCCCTTATGATAATGTCAAGGTTGAAGATGAGACTGAATCTTCTTTTAATTTAATCTAGCAAATTATCTGCAAGGTGCTAGGCTATTTGACCATTACCATCTTAAAAAATATATGAAATCTCAAATACTTGCTCAAGCTTTTCTTTCAAAAGAATTTTTAAATGTCTTCATGCAAGCAAAATTCATTTTTTAAAAATGAGACACTTAGAAGAAATCCAAGACTACCCATAAGGCAACCAGGATTCTATCCCAAAGTTTATCAGAACTCTTTATCTACACCTCAATTTCCTCACATGTAAAATAAGGGTAGTGACATACACCCTGTTTCAATCTGCTCCTTCTGTCACTGTTTCCCATTTCAGTAAATGGTACTGACATTCACCATGTGGCTCAGACCAAAAACATGGGACTAATTCCCAGCGCCTTTCCTTTTCTCATACCCTATAAAAACTCCTCAGCAGGTTCTCTTGGTTCTTGAGTCTAACTTAAAATATACCCAAATCTAAATACTTATCATTTCCACTGCTTCCATCCCAGTTTAAATAGCCAACATCTCTGGCCTGGATTACTTCAATAGCCTTATAACTCATCTATCTGATTCTTCTGCTCACTATATATACATCCTACTCCATACATGGCATCTAGATTGAGCCTATTAAACATAATTCAGATGTCACTCCTCTGCTCAAAATGTTCCCATGATTTCCATCAAACTTAGACTAAAACCCAAAGTCCTTTCCATGTCATTCGAGGCCCTCCATGATCTGCCCTGCCCACACACTCACTACCACCATCTTCCCACTTCATTTCTCCCACACTGACGGTGTACCCTTCCTGTTGTTTTTCCCAACAGAAAGTCCTTTGTCTTTGCTTCTCCCTTTAAACTCCAGGTATTTTACAAGTTTATTCCTTAACTTTATAATGTATCTTTAAGATACGCGACACAAAACTTGTCAAAAAGTAAAAGGAGAGAAAGACAAATCCAAAATCTTAGTTGAGGATTTTAACACTCCTCTCTCAGTAAATGAAAGAAAAAGTAGACCCCTTCAAAATAGTAAGAGTATAAAAAATTTTAATAACACTACCAGCCAAATTGCCCTAATTTGCATTTATAGAACACTACATTCAACAACAGCAAACTATAAATTCTTTTCAAATACACATGGAATATTCACCAAGTTAGACTATATGTTGGCCATAAAACAAGTCTCAATAAATTTAAGAGGACTATAATCATACAAAGTTCTCTGACCAAAAAACAAAATTAAATGAGAAAGCAATAAGATATCTAGAAAAATCCACAAATATTTAGAGATTGAGGTTAAAGTCCCAGATCTTAAAGTTGCATAAATATGGCACCCTAAGAAATTGTATGATTATTATATGACCTTTCTCTAAGGAGTTTTAAATAGAAAAATAGGAAATAGAGTTTGACTATTTAATTCCCATTTAAGAACCTCTTTAAAGAAAGACCTATGGATATGTGGAAGGAGACTCATCTCCCATTGTACTTTTTTATACAATTTAAACTTTTTTTACCATGTATTTAAAAGGAGCAAAAATAACTTCCATATTTTAAATACATAATTCAAATGCCTATTGTATATCCATCAAAGAAAAAGTCTCCTCTGGCAAAGAGAGAGGTTTTATCACAAACCATACATAAAATGGAAATGCAAAAGTGTCACCTAATTTATATTCTGGAAAATGAAACATTCTACTCTACAGACCCCTGAAGAAAGATAGCATACTTAATAGCAACAGGCACTTATACCTGATAAATAATTCATGTTGATATTTCTTGTCTTTCATCTACCAACGCAAACTCAATTTATCTATTCTCTAGGGAAATTAATCCACAATTCATCAAATCTCAAGTTTTTCTGTACTTAGTCTGGACAAACCCTTGGAAAATTGGGCCCATTCTTATGAACTGCTTTAATTCTTGCTTACTTCTCACTGTATGTCTCAGTATCATGCCACTTCCTGCACTAAGAAAATACAAAAAGAAGAAAAAAGGCAAAAAGAGAGAAGTGGTTATTTTGCTAACAGCCAACCTAATTCAATTTTTGCTTTTCTTTTTTTAATTATTTGTACAGGCAAAATATTCACATAATTCAAAATCAAAAAATAAAAAGTTATTCAGTGAAAAAACTAATCCCACTCCTATAACCCAACTACCCAGTTCCACCCTCTCCACGACCACCAGAATTAATCACTGCTAGTTTTGTGTGTACTCTTCTAGAGTTTCTTTATGCGTATACGAACAAACATAAATATATATACCTTTTCACCACCTTCTTTTACACAGATTATAGCATATTACACCTGCTGTCTACACCTTATCTTTTCACTTAAGAATACATCTTGCAGCTCCTTCCATTTCAGTACATAATTCTTTATCATTCTTTGTCACAGCTATATAGTACTGCCATTGCATAGATATACCATAAACTCTATCAACAGACATTTAAATCGTTTTCAATATTTTGCTATTACAGACAATACAATAATTGAAAAATTGTGTGTACACATTTTACATGTATGCAAGTATGATAAATTCCCAAAAGTGAAACCTCTGGCCTAAAGATATATGCACCTGAAATATGGTCAACCTGTTCCCCACAGGGATTGCACCAACCCAGACTCCTATCAACAGAGTACGACAGTACCTGTTTTCCCATGCCTTACCAAGAGAGTATATTATCACTTGGATTTTTGCCCATCTGGTAGGTGAAAAATACCTCAATAAAGTTTCAATTGACATTTTTTTTTATTATGAATGAGATTTAGCACCTTTCATAGAATTTAAGAACCATTCACATATTCTTTTCCATGAATTACCCTTATTCTTTTCCTATTTTTCTATTGGATGGATGACCTTTTAATTTTGACTAAGGAAGCTCTTCAAATATTAGCAGACTAGCCCTTTGTCTAAGTTACAAATATTTTCCCCTATTAATGTTGTTTTTTGTTTTCCTTTTGTTTTTGTTTCTTTGGAGGAATTTTTGCTTTTATTTATTGACATACATTTTTAATAGTCAAATCTATAACTTTTATAGTTTATGGGATTAGAGTTACAGTTAGAAAGGCTTTCCCTATTCCAAGGCTATAAAGGAAATCTCCCATGTACTTATAGTACTTTTATTTTTTTTATATTAAATACTTGATTTGTCTGGAATTTATCCTGTTGTCTGATATCTTACCTAAATGTACGGTCCGCAACATACATTCTTAAATTATCCCAATTCTAAAGTTAATCAAAAAATTTTACTATTTCCATGCTTCACATACTGGCTATTGCTTCCTTTTACTCCCATTCTGGTTAATTTCTACAATCTGTGTGGTCTGCCTACTTATATGGCATACAAAAATCCCTCTTTTCTCGTGCTTGTGGTTTGGATTGGGTGGAAAGTGTGGGGAGCGCTTCTCTAGAAACAAAACTCGTCCAGTTTATCCTTTCAGATTTTCTTCTGGTTAGAAGGAATCAGAGCCCATATTTTGTCACATCGAAGACAGGGAGGCTAAAGACAGAAACTGCAACATTTTAAAATCTTCTCAGTGCCCACCTCTATATTTTTATCCACATACTTCTGAGGATTTCACCTTCATCACAAAACAGGTTAAACTTTTTTCAAAATTATGTACTATGCCAGGGAATGGACTAAGCCTGACCTTCCCGTGAAGGTCCAATTATAATTTGCGTAATGTTTTTTTTCAAATGGCTACCCAGTTGTGCCAATACACCTATTAAGTAAAAAATCAATAAGTATGCACAATCTCTGTATTGGACTATCAACTGCATTTGCTAAGTTTTATTTGCAGAAAGCTCCAACACACCAACTACTGCAGAACACATGTGTTTCAAACACACATGAAATCATAAAGATGGACCAGTTTTCAGGCAATAAAACAAGTCTAAATAAATTTCAAAACTGAAATCTTAAGAGTATGTTATCTGACCACAATGGAATTAATTAGAAATCAATATTAAAATATCTACAAAAGACCCAAATACCTGAAAATCTTTTTAAATACAGGCTAACATTTGGGTACAAGAGAAATCACAAAGAGAGCTAGAAAAAATATTTTGAACTGATGGATAATAAAAGTAACATATCAAAATGTCTGGAATACAGTTAATACACAGGTTTAGGGGAAATTTAAAGTTTAAATACTTTTATTAGAAAAGAACAAAGAGTTGATGTTAATGTTTCCATAGAAATGAGCTATCAAAGAAGAAGCCATCCCTAGTTACGTATAAGAAAGAAAATAAATATAAAAGCATAAGTCAATGAAATAAGAGGGGTGGGGAGAGGGAGAAAGAAAGGGAAAGAACAAAACAATGCCAATATCAGGAATGGAAAAGGTGACGTCACTAAAGATCAAAACTATAACAAGGGAATGTTATGAATAGCTTTATACCAATAAATGAAACTTTGCTGAAGTGGTCAAAATCCCTGAAAAATACAACTTATGAACACTGACACAAGATCAAATAGAAAACATGAATAAACCTATATCAAAAAATCAAATTTGTTTTCAA